TTGGCCAGCGAGCGGCCGGTCCAGCCGAGAGCTGACCCCGGTCGCCCGGCTCGGCTCTCTCGGTGGGGGGGGCGTCACTCCGCCTGACGCCGCCGGGACCCTGTGCCCTGGAGTGCCCGAGCTGACGTGGGGGGGGGCCCAGGGCACCCCAGTGGTGGTTGGGGGCAGACTTCACTGGCGTCGGCGCTAGGGGGTGACCACGGCGTGGCCAGGAGGGCAGGCGACGGAGCGTCACCTTGGGGGCTGTCTGTGAGCGCGCGTGTACGTGCCTGAGCCTGAGCCTGTGCCTGCGCGCGCCTGAGCCTGTGTCTGCGCGCGCCTGAGCCTGTCTGCGCGCCCGCGCCGCCCGCAGGCTACCCGCACTGGAAGGGGCAGGTGCTGAGCTCCGGCGAGCTGCACGAGCTGTACCAGGGCCTGCAGCTCAACGGCGTGAACAAGTATGACTACGTGCTCACCGGTGAGCGGGCGACGGCCGCGGCGGGTGTGAGGACCCCGGGGGTGCTGCGCGCCGCGCGGCCCTCTGCACGTTTGTGGGGGCCGATGTGACCCTCCGTCCCCCAGGGTACACGAGGGACAAGTCCTTCCTGGCCATGGTGGTGGACATCGTGCGGGAGCTGAAGCAGCAGAACCCCAGGCTGGTGTACGGTACGGCCAGCGCCTTCCCTGGGCGCCCCTTGGCAGTGGGCTCTGGGCCCCGAGGCGTGGAGACGGGACCGCGGGGTTGGGGGGCAGGCGGCCCCCCGTCTCGCGGAGGCGCACGCCGCGCACGGGGCCGGTCCCAGGAGTGCCCGGGGCCCCCTCCCGCGGGCCCGGGGACCAGCCGGCTCAGCCGTCGCCCCAGGTCTGCAGCCGTGGGGGGCGGCCTTGCCGACTGTCTTTGTGCCCCGCAGTGTGCGACCCCGTGATGGGGGACAAATGGAACGGGGAGGGCTCCATGGTGAGTGACCGGGAGGCAGCCGGGGCGGGGCGCGGTGGGCCGCACAGCCCGGGAGAGGGGCCTGGCGCGGGGTCTCCGTAAAGGGCCGCAGCCGGCCCCGAGGGCCGCAACCCTGTGTGCCCAGCAGCAGCCCAGCAGCCGCGAGGACACGGACCGGCCGGCCGTCGGCTGGCCTGCCCGCGGGTCGGGTCATTCTTTCAGTTTTTCCTTTGACCCCGCTGTCCACCTATCAAAGTGGACGCGGCTCTCGGGCCTGGAGCCCCTGGGCTGCGCGCAGGCGCGGGGGAGGCGCCGTGGGG